GTGCATTTTAATGAGAAGAGTAGACTCTCAAAATATCAATCGATTTGAATTTATATAAAGAAGATTAAAATTTAATTATGAAAAACAATCAAGACCATCAAATCAACCTAGATTCAATATGAACCAAGGCTAATGCGATGGTATACGTCCGACAGCCCAAATTGAATCTGAATCGATTTGACGACTACAATTGTATTTCATATTTGAATTTGAATATTTTTTTTGTAAATTCAAATCACTTGAAATTTAAAACGTTCATTTTTTTTATTAAAGCGTAATTCATAAAAATATTTTAAAAATAATAAATAGAAAATAAATTAACTAAAATACTCCTAAAATTTTAAGAATATTTTGATCAATTTACTTTTTAATATTTTTATTTAGTTCTTTAATAATACATTCCAAATTTCGAGTGATTTAAATTTGTAGAATAAAAATTAAATTTAAAAAACATGATTATAGTAGTTCGATAATTAAAATCCAAAGACAAAACACGATTATAGCCGTCCAATCGGTCAAGATGTTGAGCTTGTTGCATCAGTCCTTGGGATGTCAAATTTTTTTATAGAATTGTATTTGCCTTGAATGTCCATGGTCCAAAAAAAAAAACATTCATAAAAAAAGGTCAGGACCTATCACCTTTCAATGGTTTTCAGCTACTACGGCCCTAGAACCATTTTGCTGTTCACTCCCCCAAACAAAACCCTAAATTCTCTTACCCTTTCTCGTTATACTACTTGGAGCTAAACCTTCTTTAATGAAGAAATGGTGTTTTACACATGATGTTCCTGATGATTATGGCCTACACTTGACTCATTTTTCAAATGAACCCTCCAAGTTATGGAAGAGCATGTGCTCTCTCTCACACAAACACACACAGTTGCTTCATAAATAGGCAGAGCTTTCCACTCACGATTTGAATCTCCTGATGGCAATAATAACTAGATTACATTCAAGAATTCAAAACCCATGAAGATTTTAAATATTCCAAACAAATCACATTATACACTAGAAGGCTCTCAAAATAATCCAAGAAGACAGAAACAAACGCTAAAGACAAAAAGCATAAAGGGAAATGAGAAATTGAAAGGTAGAAGGGTAAAGAAAAAGGAAGCATGACTGAAATCTCCTCATGAAAAGTGAGTTCATCCCGTCAGATTAGAGAACAGATAACTCTCCAGCATCTGTCAAATACAAAACAGTTTTGAATTCACCGACTCATTTAGAACAACAAATAACTATATAGTGAAATTCCCATTTTTCCTTTGCAAAATAATGCACACGAGGCTGTCAAAGAAAATCTAATGTACCTTTCCCAGGGACAATTATAATTGGTGCTGATTTGCAGTTATGGAAGCAATACTCGCCCACACTACCCTGCAAAACGCTGTACCAAGCACAAGAAAATGTCAGAGAGAGAGAGAGAGAGAGAGAGAGAGAGAG